ATATATTCTTCGACATACATCTTATCTTCGATATTTTAATAGTTCTTTAACCTGTTAGAATATCAATCCTAATATTATGTATGAACCTATTAGTAATTTAACCTATCTATCAAGAATAATCTTGAGGGTGTGGGTGTGGATCTGTTTCTTCTTTACTACACACCCCCACACACGCACAAGTTAGACTTGAAATAGCCATAATTCACAAAGAAATATGAACTTTTATGTCCTATATCTCCATAAAGAAACATTTATCTATACGAATGCTTTTACTGTAAATATTACTCATTGATCTCTACAAGGCAGGATAACCTTCGGTCGATGTAAAAGATTCAGGAATTTCTATGAGAGAAACTATGAAATAGGCCATTTATTGAAAAAAATCACAAATTATAATTATGATTCTTCTTCATCCTTGGCATGAGTGACACGTCTTGTTCTGCACATTAATTGATCATTTGTATCAAGTTCATCTTCATTTTTACTTAGTTTAGTTACAAGTCGTTTTGACATTGTACAGCCATAGCTAAGTAAATTTTTAGCTGCGATCCAGGTCGAACAATCCGGCACGGAAACGGCTGGTTCCGTGATATTCTGGAGATTTCATGGAAGCAGTATTCCCGTTGAATAGATCCGATCACCGGATTTATCTGGTCTGAGCCGGAACCGACAGGAACAGGTCAAAACCGGTAGCCGGATACGGTTACCTCGCTTCTTCATCGGATTCCGGGCCGAACCCACCCGAAAATGACGAGTTTCCTCAGGAATTTCGCCAGAAATTCATGGAATCCTGCTTCAAAAACCATCGTTCTGGGTTATATGTTGAACTGCATTCTTCAAACAGAGTCGCACATTTTTGATTGTAAACTTTGACGACAAATTAATATCACCACGATGTCCCATGAATATTCTTCCATCATCAAGAAAAATCATAAAACAAATGCAAGAACCAATACCTACAGTTAATAAAGGATAAGTGTTACAATAATATAAATTTGGTTGGTGATTAAATTTCTCTTGATTTTCTGCAAAAGCTTCGTTTTTTTTATTTCTTAGTTGTCAAAGAACAGCTTTCTCAAATACCTCTAGAATATTCAAATGTGTTTGTGTCATCATACGTATTATAGTGAAATAAGAAAAATGAAAAAATAATCACAAAATTGTGTATATGTTCTTTTTGCTTTTCAATGGATAGACAGCGGAATAGAAGAGAAAAACAATTGAATCTTTTACTTTATTTTCCATAATCGTATCTACACTCAATTTGATTTTCGGTCTATTTATTATACAAAAGAGAAGAGAATGGTTTACAAAGGATCTTTCACTTTCTTCATGTTCCCTATGCCACACTAATATAGATAATTGTAGTAACACATTTCATTGACCATAGGTTTGTATGGAAATTGCTCCTTCGCAAAAAAGCGACGAATAAAACGTATACAAAAACAAGAAAAAGTTAATCACGAATATAAATATCATTACCTTTTGTACCTATACAAATTTCTGATATGTCATATCCCAGGTCGAACAATCCAGCACGGAAACGGCCGGTTTCGTGATATTTCATGAAATCCTGCTTCAGGAACCATCGTCCTGAGTAGTGGTCCATGTCAATATCATTAATTTGGCATAATTCCTTTGACATATTCTTGTTTTGGACAAAAACAAAAGTACGAATATTAATAATAAAAAAAGCAAATAATAATCAGATAGCGTAAGCTTAAATGACGATAAGTAATATATTTTGGGTATTTTCAATATTCAATTCGCGACAAGATATATATGGTTTTCCTCTTTTTCTTTCTTTTCGTTCTATACAATATGTTGCATGAATAAAAGAATTACAGTTATCATTTAAAGAATAACTGTTCAATATTTAGCCAATAGTCTGAAGCAGAAGATCGTATCATTTTAATATGATATTTCAGCTTGTTGTTTGTTAAGATTCGATTAACATTTATTATTTCTTTCACTTTTTATTGTTCTTTATATGTTATATATTTTCTCATCATCATTATCAGAAGAGGCTAATCGAAAAAATTAGGTGGATCGTTATTGTCTTTCTTTCCATTTAAAGAATATTATCAATGATACACCAGTGAATGTACGAAAAAGAAAATATCTCATATGTTTATTATCGTAAATCTTGACACATTATCTAGATATTGAAGTAATTGAATACTTGTAAATTGTCTGTTGTTTTTTAATAGTTACAGCATGAAAATATCGATACAACTTGTTTACAGCTAATAATAGATAATGAATCATCAGTGTTCTTACAACATATGATAGCTTTAATTCTCGATTTCGATAATATAAAGTTGATTTGATTTCACTATGCTCGTGAATGTTAATGATTTTATGAAAATCTGAAACCCTTTATTTCGAAATCGTGCTTTGCAGACGAATCTCGACTCGTGTGTAATCTAGTTTAATTGGACCATCTGATTTTATTATTTATATTATTAGTACAAGTAGAAAAAAGAAGAGAAAAAAAATGTTTGTAACGACCATAGTAGTACGCACATCGAAGCCGTTAGGAAAACAAACTGATACAAACACATACAAACAAAATCATTCTCCTTGTGGAAAGCAAGAAGAATTGAAAACAAATAAACACATAAGAACAACAACAAGAATAATAGTAATATTTATTATGAAAAATAGAAGGCGCAACGAAGAAAAAGACATGAGAAATAAACTATAAAAAAAAGAAACAAAGAAATCATTTAGTTCTTATTCCACCACAGCAAACAGACAATTTATGCCAAAAAATAATAAAAACAAAACTACAAAACAGAAAAATGCTTGTATATTCTCTGCATATCGTTTCGAAAAAAAAAATAACGAAAGAGAGAATTTTAATGTTTATATGTATATACATATATATGAGATAAGGATCAATACAAAAAAAAAGAATCATCGTGCAATTTTTGGTATTTTTCTTTTTGGATAGGATCTTATTATGAGTAGAAAGAATAAAATCAGTCGGCAACAAATAATTTCGGAAAAAAAATAAAGATAAACAAAACATACAACAAATATAATAAATAGAAAATAAAGAAAAGAAAATGTTGATTTAATGTGGATTTACAGATGGTGATGGTGTTGATTGAAGTCCTATTGTAAGATCATTGGCTGAAGGTGGACCGTAAACTCGTTGTTGAACTGGTAATGTTCCATAAGTATTTGGAGGTACAGATGATACACGGACACCACGTCCAACACTCATATTATATTCAGATGATGGTGCTAATGAACGTTGCGAAGAGTAATAACTATTATTTGTTGGTGGCATAGTTGGATAATATGAAGGTGATTGTGCACGTGAACGAGATTGTAACATTGGATAGAACATTTGTTGTTGTTGTTGAGATTGTGGTACTTGTAATTTAGATAGATCATCGAAAGAATCTTCAGATTTTAATTCGATTGATTCAATTATATTTGGTTTATTAAGAGTACCATTTGAAGGTATTGTTGTTGGATAATTTGGAGTCATATTTTGTGAAAAAGAACGATGTGGTGCTGATGGCATCTGTGGTTGTTGTTGTTGATATGGTATCGATGTAGGTTGATTATAATATGCATTGACTGGATATCGATTAGATACTTGTGATGGTTGTGATAACATTGGTTTCGCAGTACGTATCATACCTCCTGGATTAGTGTCCATTGGTTGAGGATATGATGAATAACTTGATTGAGCTAAAAAACAACAATAAGCAAATCATTTTACAATGATTGTTTGATGCTAATTGATTTACCTATACTTGGTGTATATGGATAATCTGATGAAGGTGCTGGTATTTGTGGTGTTTGTGGTCTCATTATGTATGATTCTACTGGATAAGGCATTCTCTGTTGGCCATAATTCATTGGTTTTCCTCCATGTGATGCATACCGATTTGGTTGTTGTGCTGCCATCCATTGTTGTGATGGTGGTTGAGAATGTGTCATTGTCATTGGATATCCATTACTACTACCGATAGAATTACTAGTGCCACCATTATAATATGCAGGATGTTGTTGTTGTTGAAGAGATGATGATGGTGGTGGTTGAAGTAAATTAGTTCGTACTAATCCATTTATAGATGATGGTTTGCCACTTTTACCACCTGATGGCATCATTTTACCTGATGAACTTGGTGAAGCTGATTCCATTGAAGAATGATATTGATTAGTTGTTGTCTTTGTCGCTGTTGTATTTGCTGTTGAAGTTGTTGTTGTTGGTGTCGGTTCAGTATTTTGTGAAGTCAGTGGTGAGGGAGCTAAAATAATAGTGTTAAGTTATATTTAAAAAGAAAAGACAAACATTGTCTATTATTTATAGCTTTCGACAAAAGTATTGCTTATAAAATAATACCTGGTCTTATATTAGCTCGATGCATAGCTTTAATACGTCTTCGATCAGCTTGCATAGTTGCTGCACGTTGACGTTGAATCTTATGTTTAAAACTTTGACAAAATGGTAACTAAACAAGATTTAAAAAAAAACAAAAGTTATTGATTAAAATTCATAAATAAAATCTTTTTTTTTATATTTTACTGGACAATGTTGATCAGTACAAGTTTTTGTATGAAACCATATAGGTGCCAGAAGTTTACTGCAATGTTGACATTGATTTCTTGCTAATTTAGTACAATCATTTACGTGTTGAAGTAAGCGTTTGCATGGTGAACAATTTTTAAATATACAATTTGCATTTCGACATTGTATAGCATGTCGTATAGCATCAACCATTTTTTGCATTGTGGCTTGTCGTTGTTGTTGTAAATTCATTGGTGTATCAGAATTTGTTGTTGTTTGATTTATTTCGTCCAAACGATCCATACGATGTTCATGTTTAACAATTGTAATACATTTATTACATAAATCATAATCGTCACATATAGTACAATGATATCTAATATCACATTGTTGTCGACATGAATTACATGAATGTGACATTTTATCTGCTGTTGATGAATGTAATTCTATTAATGAAACCATTGTAGAATATTTTGCACGACGTAGTGAAGAAAATTCACAATGTTTTTCACGAGCAAAATTTAAAAATGCATCACGAGATTCCATCAAATCACATTGAATTAATGGATCTGTATCGGTTAATGTTGCAGATATTGATAGTAGATTACGTAAACGAACAACGAAAAATGACTGAAAAAAAAATATTGTTTTTTATATAATAAAAAATATATTGAATAGAATTTATTTTACTTCTTTATGTTTTTCCATTGTGCCATAGATTTTTGTAATAAGATCACTTCCAGTTGTCATATTTTTTCGTGTTGTTCGACGTTGACTTGTAGTTTTTTTGAAATTCTTCTTTTTATGTGTTGTACCACCACCGGATTTACGTTTATCGGATAACTATTAAAAATAAATTATTAGTAGAGAATCAAATATATATATGATTATATTTTACTTCTGTTGGTTCTTCAGTTTCAATCGAATCATCAAAACATATATCATCACATGCTTTTACGGCTTCAAGTTCTTCTAATTTTCGTCTATCTTCTTCTTCTGTATCAATTTCTTTAATTAATTCTTCTATTGTACTTGTCCAAAAATCACCTTCGAAATATGGAAGATCAGTTGCTTTATTTACACCACTATCAGTACAATCTTTTACAATATCCTAAAATATTTCAATGAAAAAACAAAAAAAAAAGAAATAATTAAAACATACTTTATAATCAACAACAACTCGTTGATCAACAGCCATATCTAACATTGTTTTATACCATTCTTGTAAACGTTTTGGTTTTGGTACACGTTGTTCAACTGGATGACAATGAAATATATAATCATCACCTTCACTTGGTGGACATGCCCATATATGTGCATAAACAAATCCTAATTGTTTAACATATTCAAGATAACCAATAAGAATTTCATAATAAAGTGCTGTTCGTTGTTGTTTAGGTCGAAAATAATGTACAGAATCAAGATATGAGATATATACACGTCTAAACAAAGTAAAGAATGAATATATTTTTAATCGATATTAGAAGAGTATCTTACCTTGTATTTGGTGCTGGACATCGACTATCATACTCTTGTACATGCATACCAAAAAGAACAACATCAACTCCATCGATTTCTTGAAATGCAAATATAGCTTTTGTTCTATATGGATATCCATCAGGTATTGTTGAGCCAAAATGATTTTTTAATCTTGGTTTAACTTCACATATTCGATCACTTGCTGCTAAAACTCGGATTGTAACACGTCCATCATTATTGAAATCACATTCTTTTCGAAGGAAATCATTAACACGTTTTTCTAATGTATTAGCTAAATCAGTCATTGTTAACTTATGTGCTAAATAACGATTTTCTTTTCGTTTAACATTATATTGTTGTGTACATAGTTTACAAACATAACCTTCAGGCCATATATGTTCATGATAAAGTACACATATATTATGAAAACGTCTTGAACAAACAATACAATCTGTCACAGTTTCGGGTTCTTGATGATCATTTTTCGCTTGAATAAATTCGCATTTAGGTAATTCAACTAATGTTTGTGCTGGATCATCACCAACTGATATATATTCAGATTTAACTGAATCGAAACATTTTTTACAAAATGTATATTTATCACCCGATAAATTATTTCGTGCTGAATCAGGATTTTTATAATAAAAATAATCACCATCACGTGGAATTGTACAACATATACCACCGATACCATAACAAAACATTGCTGGTGGTAAAAATACATATTGACGTCCACAACAATAACCATAGTCTTGCATTATTGGATCAACATTTTCCATAAATATATCAGCAAGCTAAATAAAAATAAATTAATCGAATAATCAATTTTTTTCAATAGAATAATTTACTTTAACACCAGCTTTATGGGCACGGTGGGTTTTTTTATTAAATGCCCATGTATTATTAAAAACAAGCCAAATATCTTCACATAATTTAAATGGTGTTGGATATTGATTTTCATCTAATTTTTTGAATATTGTAGAAAAATCCATTGGACATTTAATTATATCGAAATAACCCGGTGCAATTGCTTCTGTAACTGGTTGACGAAACCAAAAACCTTCTTCTTGATCAAACATATGACGAAGTATAGGTGTAAATTTTTCTCGGATATCTTCAGGGGAAAAAACGGCTGGATATTTTGGTAAGGATTTACTTGTTGCATCAATGGGCGGACGATTATTTGAGTTATTTGAGTCTGTATCAATCATTTCACTTTTTATTGTTTCAACTGTTGTTTTTTCTATATTACTGTTACTAAAAGATTTTCCCATAGTGATTTCGTCTTGTTTTTTAACAATGGTTGATGTCTAAAGCAAGAAAAATTATTACAAATTTCATATTCAACTCTTTCAGAATAGAATTGCTTTTAAAAATGATAACATCTATGAATATTTTCAGATAATATATATATAAAGTGAATGAGAAGAAATAATGTAGATGATAGTGTTATACTTCATAAGAATTGTCAGCTTTATGACTAACTCCAATGTAAAGATCAGAATGAACTTATAAAATAAATGGCAAACAGTTTTAGAATCATAGTCTATGTACATAGACCAAAAAGATAGAAAATACTGTAGGTACATCATCCCAACTTCGAGTTGGAACGCTTAATATGTACTGCTCTTATTTCCTTATAGGTAGATTTTCTTTAGCAAGATTTACATTATTCAATTTAATTAAATACTTACATGATTTTTTGAATCATGATTAAATGAAATCTCTTCCGTTTTAATATGTATTGTATCACTATGATTTCCATTTGTATCTGTATGTACATTTGAATTATTATTATGGACAGCTAATCGATTGCTAGCATCAGCTGCACCACGCTGTTTATCAAGAGGTACTGTTGTTATAGTTGGCGGATGATGAATCATTGGTTCTGTTTTAATTTGTGTTATTGGATAATCTATTTGCGGTGCAATACGATTTGGTGGACCTTGCTCACCCGCTAATCTATCAATTGATGTTATAGTTGTAGCTTGTTGTCTTTTTAACGATTGTTTTTCGTCATACTCTTTTTGAATTCGATATATTCGTTCAGCTAAACGTTGAAAATAATCTTCATGACTTGTAGCTGCATTGTATGCATCAGCTTCTGTTTTTTGAGCATAATTTGTTATAGCAGCTACACGATCTGGGTTTAATGAATGACTATCTTGTTGAATTGTACCTAATAAAGCTGAAGTAACTTTTTTTACTAAATGACTTCGATGATCTTGATGTATGAGTTGTTGCCATTCTCGATCTAAAAAGTTAAATAAATTTTTTTTTATTATAATGCAACTATATAGATAATTTACTTGGTGGATTTTGTGATCGCATTGTAGATGGCTTTCTCAATGAACCACATAGAAAACAATTGGGTGTTTGACAATTCTTCCAATGTAGAATTATATGACGAGATTGTACACAATTTGTAACTTAAAATAAATGAAAAATAATATAAATTTGAATAACTCTCAAAATATGTGAATATAATTTTTAGTTGAGATACTTACAAGGACAATTTTTAAAATCAGAACATTTAGTCATATGTTGAAGTACAGTACGCATTGTTGTACAATGCGGTACTGGACAAGGATATTGAGATGTTGTTTCATGATTGTCTCCAGTATTAATAGCTTGTCGTTCACGTTGAAGGCATTTATGTGCATGAAGTAAAAGAGCAAGATGTTGAATAATTTGTCGACGTTGATCATTTTGTTGTACAGATGTATTATTTATTACTGATGAATCTAATTCAGAAGTTATTGTTGAAGGTGTCTGTTGTGATAATGAATGATTTGGTAAATTAATATTTGATGTTGTTGCAGATGAGACACTATTTGTTGAATAAATGGATGAAAGAATCGATCCTGTATCGATACTGTCGCACTAAAAATTTAAAAATTTTCTATTTAATAATAATAATAAATAAATTTTAAAGAACAAACTCGATTTGATAATGGCGTATTATTATTGTTGTTATTCATGGCTGCTTAAAAATAATATTAGACAATAAGCATGGAATACAAATAAATAACAACAATATATATGAAAAAATATTTTATATAATTAATAAAGAATTATGAGGCAAGATATAAATAAAAAACTCTGACCGATAGCCATTCACTATCTACCTATCAATCAATCAACTCTCTCTAGTTTCAATACGATCCAATTGATGAAGAGAGAAAGAGAGAGAAAACAATAATACTGACAGAAAGAGGTCGCTGAAATGTCTCAAAAAGTTTGTTCTTATTTGTTCTTTTGAGTTCTAATCAATTTTTGTGGTAATATGTCGTTCTTTTATATGGCTATGAAAAAGAATAAAAAATTATTCATAAATAAATGAATAAATATAACTCGGAAAAAACCTTTTTGTTTTTTCTTACTCCGAAAAAAAACGAAAATAATTTTATCTGATGAAATATCTAATAATCATAATTTTCACATGGAAAATGATGGAATTATTAACAGAAAAAATAATTTTGAATATACTAAAATCGATATTTAAATAATAAAATATACAAAGAATTGTGTGTTTTGACATGCATATTCTGTTGATTCATTCTTTATATACTGGTAGATTTCGAAATATTGTTCTTATGTAATACAAAAAAAAAATACGACATAGAGTTTCAATATACACCAACATCGTAAAACTATCAGAGGAAGTAATACTTTAAAATGAATAACTGATCCTGGAGATTTTCCTATGATATATTCAAATAACTTTAGTGATGTTTTAAATATATGTTGGCTGATAGACTATAAATAAATTTTCGCCATCATAGATTCTTGTACATTAACTTGTGTATTATTGATTATCAACGGAATGTCAAATTTTATTATACTAGTGGTTCTTAACGTATTAAATATTTTTTTAAATTTATTTTCTTTATATAAAAATATTAAAAATGATATTTTAGAGTGCTGAATGAACACTTTCAGCTACGTGATTGAATTACATGATATAGTTAATCAAAAAGAAAACTCAAATTCAATAAGTTTACTTTGATTTTTAGTTTCGTTCAAATCTTTTATTGAACCAAACAAGTCAAGAAATCATTCTTTGTTTAATTCCGAAAGGCAATATGTTGTTATGTTTTACAACTTCTTCCTTTCAATATTGATTACGAGATAGAGTGAAACATCAATTTTGTTCATTTTCATGACTATTCGTTGACGAAAGCTTCTATTGTTTGTTCAATAAGAGAATGTCACCGACGATTACTCGTACACATATTTTGTTTTTCATTGATAATTCCCTTTCGTTGATGTAACAGCTATCTATTAATAAACTAACGAAAAGAAAGCAAAAAATTTAGTATGTGCGTATGTAAGCTCATTTTGTTTTACTCGATCTTTCTCGATTTTTCCATTTGATCATAACGTGCTTCTCATAATCCTAGTTGTTGTAGGAGAACATATAACCATTGAATTTTTATTTTTTATCTCAATGAAATGAAATGAAGTACAATTATTTCTTAAATGTTTTTTCAGTTTTCTACATATTCGTATTTATACTCATATTAATATCAAACATCAATGCATGTGATGTAATGGGTTCACGTGCATGTGGACAAAAACCAGACAAAGATGATCGAGAAACTGATCCAATTAAATATTGTATTGCATCACGTGTTTATTTTGAATGTGTTCATAAAAAATATCGTGGTTGCGAAAATAAAGAAAAATATGAAGTAGCTATGGAGTCAATGATGAGAGGTAAGAAAGCCATTGATTATTTTTCTTCTAATACAATTTAAATCTATGAAAAATTTTAATAAAGCTTCTTAGATGCGAACGATAATATTCTAGTTTTTATTCACTGTTTCTGAATGTTATTTACTAATCATTTTCTTTTATTGTTATTTTTAGGTATTCGAAAACGTGTCGATGATCTCTTAGCTTTTTGTAGTGATAAAATTGAAAATTATAAATTTAAGATCATCTGGGAATCTCCAAAACCAGTTGAACCTACGGATTCTATTCGTGCTGGTGTATCACCAAAAAATGGTATTCGTAGTCTATCACCTATACACATAGATATATCAAATGATATTTGTCAAATACAATCAATCAATGATCTATGTCAACCATTGATGATTAGTGTGAAATTTAATCCATCATGGAGTAGTGCTAATAAACGTCGTTGGTGTCAACAAGCAAGAACTTATTATCATTGTTTAAAATCTCGTCTTGATAAATGTTCTCAACAAGATGTACAAAATCATTTTCAACAACGTGAAAATCTACTTTCTTCAAATATAAATATTAGTTGTCCTGGTGGTGTAGTTGGATGTATACCACATTCACCAGATGTACGTTGTCAAATTGGTATGAATTCATCAAATAAAAATTCATCAATATTTTGGTTTACTTATTTTTTTGTTCAATCGGTACTACAAATACTATTCTTGTTTTAAATAAGAATATAAGAAAAAAAAGGAAAAAATATAATTTGCTATCATTTTATTTATATGAGGAACTATCTGACATCATTTTGAACATAAGAAGAACAAAGAAAAATTTTTATGAACTTTCTACTTGACGAGCTTTTTGAAAAGCAGATATAAGTGCACTAAGTTGTATTTTTTCTGTAGCACCATTTGCCAAACGATTTCTATTAAATAAATAAATAGAAAAAACAATATATTTTTTTCTGCTCTTTATCGATCAAACTTACTCAATATCAGCCATTTTAATGAGAAGATGAATACGAATTTCACGTGGAAAATCAACTAAAAAAATTTAAGAAAAATTATTTGAATAAATTCAAGATTTATCAATTACTTTTATGAACATATCGATGAAGTTCAGTAAGAATATCTGCTAATGCATAACCTTTTAGTGTTTTCAATGTTGATAATGCTTATAAATAAAATACACATAGATATGAAATCATTAATTAATTAATTCTATTTTACTTTGTGAAGCTACTGTAAAATTTTCATTAAGTAATACATTAATAATTGTTTTAATATCATTTTTTGATGGATGACCAACACATTCATACACCGAAATTTCTGTTACTAAACTTGATGCCATATGAGTACTCTAAAATATAGCTTAATTTAAAATAAAGTCTCAAATATATCATAAAACAATACCTGAAGAATATTTAATGCACGTCGCATATCACCATTAGCTAATTGAAGAATTGCTTTTTTACCTTCTTGATCAATTTGTACACTAAAATATTTTTTCTTTATTAAATCTTTATGCGAAATTTATATTAACTTTTCTTTTTCAATAACATATTGTAATCGTGGCATCATTTGTTCATTAGATAATGGACCAAATCGAAATCGTGTACAACGTGATTGTACAGCTGGAATTATTTTTGATAGATAATTACAAATAAAACAGAAACGAGCTGTAGCTGTATATTGTTCAATAACTATTAACAAAAAAAAAAAGAAAGTATAATAAGAATAAATTATTAAATTTTCTTACTTCGACGAAGTGCATTTTGAGCATCATTTGTCATAGCATCAGCTTCATCGAGAATAATTAATTTGATACCTTTTCTATAAGTAAAAAAATTATACATTTATATTTTATAATGATATAAAATAAGAAATTCTTATACTTATGAAGTGTTTGTGTACTAACAAATGTTTGAATTTCATCACGTACTATACCAATACCACGATCATCCGATGCATTTAACTAGAATGATTAAAATAGTTAACAAAAAAAATTTGCTTTAAAAAATCATTTCATATACTTCAAGAACACAACCACGCATTTCTGATGGTGTATACATCTGTTTTGCTAAAGCTAATATAGTACTAGTTTTTCCTAAAGATAGTTACTTAATATATGAATAACTATTTATGAAAGAAACTTACCTGTGCCTGCTGGTCCATAGAAAAGTAAATGTGGTACTTCACCGAGTGTCATATAACGTTTAACTATTTAATAAAAGTTTAATAAATTTTCAATGAATTAATAAAATAAATATTTACTTGTATCAATAATATCTTTATGGGATACAAGTTCATCAAGTGTTGCTGGACGATATTTTTCAATCCTAGAAAAATAAATTATTTATCTTTTTATAATTTAATATTATTTACGAACCAAGGAAGATTAGCCATCTTTATTTACAGTATTTAAAAAAATAAATGTCCTATCTAGAAACAAAAATCATAGAGCATTTTTTGTTCGTTTTATTTTTATTCTTTAGAAGCTGGTGGTGGTGATGAAATCAATTCAGGAACATTATAATCTTCATAATTACTTAAAGGTACAAAATAATGAATTAACGTCGGTTCGTAAACCTCAATTAAGGGATGAGCATCTAATTTATTTGACTAGAGAAAAAAGAGAAAGATTTTTTGTTAATTCAATGAATAATTATTAAAGAAAGTAATATATACCTCGATAAAATTTGCTAAACGAGAAGGTACTCGCATACTTGCAATAGAAACAGAAAAAACACTATTAAATGGAAATGTTGTATAGACTGATTGCACTGATTTTGGAAGTTTAAAAATTTTGTAATCATCTTTTTTCATTCGTTCAATCATTTCTTGATCTTTTGTTTCATCGACGATAACACCAACTATAGAGCGTCGTTGTTCAACTGGCGTCTAATTTAAAACAAAATAAATTATCATTTAGGTTTTTCTTTTCAAATTTATCATTCAACTTACAACATCTGGTTTATCATAATAAATTCCAATAGTTGAATGCGATGGTGAATAATTAAGAATATCTCGAAATATATCGGCTGATTGAGAATAATCACCCTGTTGAAATTTATAAGCAATTGTTAAAAACTCAAAAGTTGGTTGAGTAATTTTTATTTTAATTGAGGCGAAAAGTCCTGAAACTTTTAATAACCAAAATACTGTAAAAATGAGTGCTAAAAATGTTAAACCAATAGCTAGTAAAATAAATGGAATCAACATCTGAAATAATAATAATAAGAAAACAAACAGAATAATAACAAAAAAACAAATAAACAGGGAAAAAGAAAACAAAATTTATTTTATGTACTCTTATATATTTTTTATTCAATAATCTTCGTTATAATTCCAGCTGCCATTGTCAAACCACTTTGCCTTAACATAAAACGTCCAAGTTCTTTAACATTTGAATATAATTCACAGCATATTTGTCTATGTAATGCTATTTCAACAACACCACTAGAATTTTTCGTTAATAATCGTGGTCTTTGTCGTTTCAATTCCCCTGTTACACGATCTAATTCTTCAACTAAACTTATTATTTTTCCTTGTTCTTGTATAGATTTAAAATGAAATACAACTGGTGTACCAGGTAATATTGGTGTTGTAATATTAAAAATAATTATACGTGCTTGAATTCTTGTTGCACACGGTATTGGATATTCAGGATCACAAACAACATTACCAACAAATAAATGTGTTGGATCAACACCTTGCATATGAAGTATAATACTATCACCAGCAAATGCTGATGGAACATTGGCATTTTCAATTTGAATTGTTTTTATTGTTACTAGATCATTCGATGGTCGTAATAAAACACGATCATTCACTTCAATACCACCACAATCAATACGACCAGCTATAGATACAGTTCCAGCACCAACACCGGTAGCACGAAATACATCTGTTATACAGAGACGAAATGGTTTTGCTATTGGTCGTTCAGGTGGTTTAAGACGATCAATTAGATCAATTAATGTTTTACCACGTATAATACCATTAATGAGTGTATCTGGAGCATTTGCTTCTTTAGTATACCAAGATAATGGTGATTTAGTTGGTGTTATTAAATTTTCTCCTGTCCAACCACTAACAGGTACAAAAACAATATCAGATTCTTTATAACCCGATGATTTAAGAAAAGTTGAAAGTTTTTTTACAATTTCTTCAAATCGTTCTTGTGACCAATCTATAGCATCCATTTTATTAACAGCACATATTAATTGTGATACACCAAGTGATCGTACTAATAGAGCATGTTCACGTGTTTGTCCACCAAATTCAAAACCGGTTTCAAATTCTCCACGACGACTATCAACTACAAGTATAGCAACATCAGCTTGAGCTGCTCCATTTATCATATTTGGTATAAAGTCTATAAAAAAAAACGAAATTAATATAAAATATCTTGTTACAGTTTTTTTTATAAATTTGAACTGATCGTTAACATCATCGAAAAAGTAAATTGAATAGCGTAGAATGATATCAGTATAGAAAATTTTACAATACTATCATAATGAGTTATTTGATCAAGATAATATGAGAAAACTTCCATTATTTTATCTTTATCAAATTAAAGCAAGTCAAATATTGAATTTTTACCTTTATGTCCAGGTGCATCAAGAACATTAACAAGTTTAGTGTCAGTTTTAAATTGAGCTTGAGCAATATCCATAGTAACACCACGTTGTCGTTCTTCTTCTGATTCATCCAAAACAAAAGCATATGAAAAGCTTTCTTTTCCTAATCGAGCAGCTTCACTTTTATTTTTATGCATTGCACGATCATCAACAACTTTTAATTTAACAAGTAGATGACCCATTAATGTAGATTTTCCTGCATCAACATGACCAACAACAACTAAATTTAATAGATCACGTCCTTCAAGACGTAATTTATAATCATCTAATGTATTTGTACGATCAGCTGCTAATGGACGACGTTTTAACGTTGAAGTAACAGATGGTGTCGTAGTTTCCGTTCGACGTGATGCTGCAACTGGTGAGACACCTTGTCGTGGTGTAATACTAGGAGAATCCAATGTAGATCTTGATTGTTTTTGTGGTGAAACACTTCGATCAATTCTTTCACTTATTTTTAATGTCGCTATACGAGCAGGTAATGTGTCAAGGTGAGATGAACGATTAGTAGTAGCTTAAATAATAATGATTATTTTCAATTTTATTTTCAACAAAATATAAATAACAAAGTTTACCTTGATTTGGTGGTTTTCTTAAATCATCTTCTGGTTCCATTTCAAATTGAAAATCAGAATATGGACGTGCTGCATCACGTCCTCTAGTTTGTGGTATTTTGTCATCAAAATTAGATGGTTCTTCTACGACTTTATTAACAGTGGACGTATCTTTACTTTTCTTTTTATTCTTTGATTTTGGTGCCACAAATGCAAGTAATGAATGTTCTTGTTTATTAGAAGTATCAGTCATAAATTCGCCACTACTATTTGGTGAAAATGGATAACTGTAATTATGTTCATCAACAGAACGAGCTGATAAACCTTCATATTCTTCATCAAATGCATGAGCATTTTTTTCCAAACCACGATAATCCGAATGTCGCATAGTGTATTATTTCTACAAAATTTTGAAATACTATTCAACGGGAATAAATTTTTTCAACAAAAAAAAACAAAAGAAACAGTAGAATAAAAAAGCAGCTGATAATTTGTTATTGGTCGGTCGATTCTATATGTTGTTGGATTTTGTCAACTAACCAACATGTGTCATATAACAGAAAAAAGAAAAGCGAAGATAGAGGGCAGTAAGACTTTATAATATATATATAGCCAATGCCATATCAAAATAATAGAAATAGATTAAATATAATAAGTGTACTTATCTAAAAGAATGACATCAACATACAGTGATTGATTATTGATTTAATTGGGTGCTTGAAATACTAAGGATTAAAATACAGAAATACACAGTCCATCGAGACAAAACTTCAAGATCTTAAGGATCTTATTTCAAGAGATCGTTAATCAGTAGAAATAATCTTTCAAGTTGTTTATCAACACGTAGTACACAGAACTTTGTTCGATACGAATGATCACTCAAATTTGAATGTTTTCATTAGAACTTATGATTACAATTCGAAAAATTGAACCTTTTAATCAAAAATAATCTTATATTGAATTTTCTACATTTCATTCAAATATAATATCTAAAAGTTTAAAAATATATATTTATATATTCTTAAATATTTTATCTTTGATAGTTTTAATAATAAGCAAAGAAAAATAATTAACAAAAAGATAACAATGAGGAAAATTTTACTGCATAATAACAATATATCACAGTCATACATATATGCATGTTATTTGCTTTCACTGAATGTAATTGTTTTGAAATTTTTGTATAGCTTTTATCAATATTATTTAACTGTTCCATTTCTTATCAAGGATTTCTTAGGAGTAAAATAACTGGAATCGCCTTCAAAACGTCGAACTTCAGCTACTTTTTGTTGTATCGATGAAAACATATCATATGGTGCAGGATCAGTTTTATCATTTTGACGTGAACTTTGAAAATAATAGTATGATAATACAGCAACCATAGCCGATTGATCATAACGATGCATACCTGTTGATCCACCCACACGTTTACATTGAGTTTTAGAATTTGATGGTGATATACAATCTGGATCAAGTGCACATGTAACCCATGTTTTAAGTACAAGACGTGAAAGAAAATTATCTGTAACAGCAACAAAACCTGCTTCAGCTATATAAACATCATCGAATACTGAAGATGATTCATTAAACCATGTAAATGTTCCACTCAATGTAAAACATGATAAATAATGTCCTGGTAATTCTCGACATGAAAATCCACGTATTAAATTATCGATTAATATACGATCAAAATTTGATGTTAAATAACGAACTGATGTATCACCATAAATTATAGTACCAAAACGTCGTACTGCATCCTATTAATGTATAATCGTTTTTTATCATAGTTCTTTTTATCATCAAAATCTTACTTGTACTATAATTGGTTTCCAAGCAAAATTTGGTAAACTTCGAACATGTGGAGAAACTGTCGCAAGTTCATCAAATGGAAATGGAATGATTATGCATCGTTGACAATTTTCTTTGATCTAAAAGAAATAATAATTACATTGTGTATGTAATTTTAATATTAAGTTTTCTAACTATAATGTAATCTGTTTTCTAGTACATTTTGTACTTGAATGCTCACTTAAACATGAATCGTATCGATCTGTCTTGTTCCGTTTTTTTTGTCTCACTCATCGATAATCAAGTGTATTTGTTGAAGTAGTTTCATCTTGATTTCTATTCTTCTTTTACAAATTCGTGCTTTTCATATCCGATGCAAAAGAATAAGTTCTTAAGTAAAGAAATATAATACCGATATATTAACACTCATAAATTGATCTCGTTTTGATAAGCTAGAAATTAATATGAATCTGATTAATGACATCTACAACATGATAGCATCGTTAGAAAGAAGATTGATCTAATTGTCTGTTTATGAAAATAACTGTCAGATGTCAACTAATGTAGTTAACATATATTTCTTCTTTTATTCTTCATTGATTAATAACAATTTGACTCTTGATAGAAATAATTATTTGACAATAAAATAAATTAATTATCTTATCTAATAAAAGAGTATTCTCAATAGTATAATCATTCTCTAATGCATTCTATTATTTAATAGGAAAAATGAATCTAATTATCAAGAGAAATATCTTACCAAATTTAATTGATTTGCATCAAAACCTAGATCATATACAGCAACATTCTGATCATTAAAATATTGATTAACTGTACGCATGGATGCTTGCAATGTATCAAAAAAACGTGAATTAGCTGCAAGTATAATAACCGGTTTTTGTATTGATGTTGTATTCCATGCTGGGTGATGACTATGAAAACCATCAGATAAATAACTTGATGTTTGTTTTAAAAATTCAATAAATTGTGGTGTAATATCAATATGACCATTATCTGATATAGTTATATAACGTTGAAAAAGACAATATATTTCATGTAAACGTTGAGTATTGTTTGCAAATGGAATTAATGTATGAGATAAATCAGTAAAACGAAATACACCTAAATAATCTAATGCTTTACGATATTTATCTTCATGAAATATAAGTATAGAAAAAAGTGTTTTTAAACGTTCAATTGTTGGTTGTGGACGAGTATCATCAATTTTATCATTATCATTATCATTAATAATATTAATATTAATATTATTATTTGATTTATTTTTAGGTTTATATTGAAGTAAAGATTCTATTTGATCAAAATTGCATTTGTCTGAAAGATGATTATTATCTTCTGAAGGAAAAATAATTTTTCCATTTATGAGAGATTTATAATTTGATCGTTGATCAGAAGGTGCATGATTAATAAGACGTAAATAAGTAAATATAATAGGAATAAAGCACATAATTAATAAATGCCGTAGTTTAACACATTTTGGTAAACGAAATAAGAACAAAAGCCATAAATTTGGCTTATGCCCGACTCCACTGGTCGGGCGCATTGTTGACAATTATCGAACGAAATTCATTATCTATAGTAATTTGTTATTTCGTTCTACAATAAAAACTAGAAAGGATTCAAATATTAAGTCAATTAAAAAGCAAAAAAGCCAAACACATTGTCTCAAACAAAAATTGAAATGTATAGTAATGTATGAAGGTAACTATGTTGACGATAGAATAAAAGCATACGTTTGCATGATCAAACTATTGAAAATTCTTGTTGACATTATATGAATTGAAGAATGAAAGAAAATAACATTGGAATTGCTTGATAGGATTCTTTATGGTAAAGTAAGAAAAAAGAAAAGAAAGGAGAGAGAGAGAAAAAAAAGTATGTCTCGATATGTAAAAGCACTTGAAGCAACACCGTAGAATGAACACTAGAATTGAACTAGATCCTGAGGTGAATAAAAATGATATATTAACTTCGTGTAAGAATGAGAAACAAAAAAAAGTCATGAACAATATAATATCTTTATTATTGAACGCACAAAAAACAAGACCTATATTAATCAGACTCTAATTCCCAATGGATTTAGCATAATTACATATGAATAAGAAGTTTTTGACAAGTTCGTAGTCGATATTATTCTCTTTCTTATCTTGACCAACAATATGGACTTTGTTCTTTAGTAGTTAAAAGATTGTAGTACGTTTACAATATTTGCAAAGATAATTTAAAAAAAAATTCTTCTACAAAATATTTCTTACTATAAATAAACACTTTTTTTTCAAATATAAAAATTCATGATAATTATTCATTTATACAGATAAAATCTTAAAGTTATCATACAAACATATAATTACATAAGATAAAAAAACAGAACTTGTGTAATTATACTTGAAATCAGATGAAATTAATTCATAATTATTCATATCACGCAATTGTATACTATTATTTTATTAATATCTGACTCAATCAGTAACAAACATTGACAGATGTTGACTTTCGAAAAAAAACGATTAGATCGTTCACGATGAATTAAAATAATCATTTTCTATTTTTTTTTCTAATGTAGAAAGACATTGAACATGACGCGTTAATAGACGGAATCTTATCGCATAGAATTAGATGTATTCCCTTAGGGTTACTAATCCGAATATATCATTTTTTATTTATTGATGTTAAAATAATATTCAACTGCTATCGATAGGGTTGTCAATTTATTTTATCTTAAACGATAGTTTTAGAAAGAAGACGAAGCATAAATAATATATATATATTCACTCACTCGACAGGTTTCTTATATGTACGACGATGATTGACCAAACGAAAAACAAAATGAGAATTTTATTTGTCCAAGAGAAGCCATAATTTTACGATAGCAACTAATACTAACATCGTACATGTATACGACGACATAATAATTGTGCATCGACTCGTTCCGATCGACACATATAGAAAATTTTCAAGTTAGTTAGCTCACAACACATATATACGACGAGAAACTACCACTACTAACACATGACATGGAAAATTCTTAACGATCTATGCATCGTATATTCTTCCTCGTCTCTTCTGTCGTCATCCTTTTTTTTCTGAGTTTTTCTATTCTCTGTTCTGACTTGTCTGACACTCGTAGAATAGTGAACCTGTGTATGGCTTCTACTCCACAGCTATCTCTAGTTTGTCATTTCTTTCGTCAACATTAACACTATAAAATAGAAGAAAACAAATGTTCAGTGGATTATTTATGAAAATTTTTATCAGTAAATCAAAGTATTAACGATAAATTTATACAATGGAGATTCTAAACCTTTTCTTCTTAATATGTAAAATTTATGAGAAACAAAACTAAACACATATCTTCTCGTTTTACAAGTATAAAGAATTACTATGCATATATTTGATAATTTCATTTTTTTTCAATATAAATAGTGATCTAGATCCCTTCTTTATGTCGTTATTACCTGTGTATAAGACTTGTATATATAGTGCAACTATAAAAAAATATCTTGTTATGTTGTTCAATAGAAAATAAATGTTAATAATTTTACTAATATGAAAGAACACGATAAAAAAAAAGAAACGTATTTAAAAAGAGGTGAAAAAAATAGAAAAAAAAGAGTTCAAATAAAAAAAGAAAGAACTTCTCGACAGTACACAGGTGAATATTTCTTCTTTCTTGCATTTTAATAATGACTAAAAAAAAAAAAGATTGTCATAGGTAAATATATGCGACGTGATATTCTACTTGCACATTTGTTATAAGTGCTAGAGGAAGAGAAAGAGTAAAATGAGAGCATAGAACTAAATCTTTCTCGCTCTCTTCAATTTAATAACAACAAAACAAAAATTCTCTGATCCTAGTGACAAGTATACTGATCATACTCATACAAAATCATATCTATAAATATAATAGAGATCTATTGTAAATGCATTTGAGGTGAGAAAAGGTAAAATATTTTTATGTTGAATAATAATGTTTATCAATTGAAATTCGATTATAACTACGTGAAACACAAATGAGTAAAAGATTACTAGCTAACAAGCTTCAATGCTAAGCTAGCCGTAATAAAGTATACTGGTATTCGCTTTTCTCTTTACACCTATCAACCAACACATTTCATCTCATACATAGTTAATCATTACTATGCACACACACACACACACACGCATATATATATATGATGATGATGTTTGTAGGACTATTCATTCCATAAGCTAATGTTCAGTGCCATTTTTTATGCAACAAAAAGAATGAATAGAACAAAATTTAGTCGACCGATTCTCGTTCAGTTTTATGATGACTAGTCATATATATTTTATTACAAACAATACACTCTGGTTGATTGCATGAACGGTCAAATTTATTATCGAAGCGATCTAATAGAAATAAACTGTTAGCATTTCTAATTCTTTTTTTTTTTGTGTTGAGATTACTATGTGGTTGACTTACTACAATAAATTTGATCTTTATAGAGAAAAAATTTCACAGCTGTTCTTATTTATTCAATTAATAATAATAAAAGAAATAAATGACATGTTGCTAAGTGCATATTCTATAGTTTTTATTTAATTCATAAATCAACATAAAAAATCAATCAAATAATATGTCTACAGGCAGTATTCAAAATACGGTATCATCAAGTGAAGCATTATTTCAACTCAATCGTGATGTCGCAGCTAATCAATTACAAACATATCGTTCAAATAATGAACCTATACTTATGACTAGTCTATCAGGTATGCCTATTGGCGATAAAGTTTATTCATTGACTGCTGGTTCACGAGGTCCCATACTACTACAAGACGCATGTTTACTTGATGAGCTGGGTCAGTTTAATGAAGAAAAAATTCCTGAACGTTGTTCATATGCAAAAGGTACAGGTGTATTTGGATTCTTTCAATGTACAACAGATATAGGTTCAACATTGACACGTGCACATTTTCTTAATACACGAAATAAACAAACACCAATTGCAATAAGATTTTCACGTTTTTCAAGTGAATTAGGAAGTTCAGATACAATTCGTGATATACGCGGTATGGCTATTAAATTCTATACAGATTGTGGAAATTTTGATTTAATATGTAATCATTTACCGGTTTTCTTTATACGTGATCCAATTCTTTACCCATCACTTGTACATTCACAAAAACGTAATCCTGTTACTAATCTTTTTGATTACGATGCCTATTGGGATTTTTTAACATTAAGACCAGAAACTACACATTGTCTTGTAAATATCTATGAAACAACTTTTCAGATCAAAAGAATATAAACTATCTTATACTTAGGTATTACTCTATAGTCATCGTGGTATACCAAATGGTTATCGTTATATGAATGGTTATTCTGTGAATACATACAAATTCTTATCAGATGATGATAATATATCTTACGTACGTTTTCATATTAAATCAAATCAAGGTATAAGTTCGATTGATCCAACAAAAGCACTTGTCTTAGCTGGTTTGGATAGTGATTATGCTACACGTGATCTTTATAATACTATATGTATAAATAAAGAATTACCATCATGGACTGTATGTGTACAACAAATGAATGAACAAGAAATGAAAAATTCATCATTTGATCCATTTGATACAACAAAAATATGGCCAAAAACTTATTATCCATTAATTGCATTAGGCACTATTACACTAAATCGTTTACCAACAAATCATTTTGCTGAAATTGAACAATTAGCTTTTTCTCCAGCCAATCTTGTTCCAGGCATTGAATTATCACAAGATAAAATGTTACAAGCACGTATATTTGCTTATTCTGATGCACAACGTTATCGTCTAGGTAAAAATTATGCACAATTACCTGTTAATCGTCCATTAAATCCTATAGCAAATAATCATCGTAATGGTTCTATGTGTTTAAATAATCAAAATGGTGCACCAAATTATTTTCCAAATAGTTTTCATGGTGCTACAACATCATATCGTTTTAAAGAATCAATTTATTCTATTGAAGGAGGAAATATTGCACGTTATGAATGTTCCAATGAACAAGATGAATTTAGTCAAGCAAAAACTTTTTATCGACAAATTCTAAGTCCTGATGAACGTATAATGTTAGCAAGAAATTTATCCAAAAGTTTAGTACTAACACAACAATTTATATGTAAAAGAGCAATAGAAAATTTTTCTAATGTTGATCAAGATTTAGCTAATGATATTGAACATTTTCTTAATTTACAACGACCCACTAAAATGGAAGATTCTAGTATTCAAACAGATCTTGAACGAAAAATTTAATTGAAGAATATCTAATCTTGTTTCACTTTCCATAAATATTCAAATTTATAATTTAACTAACAAATAAAATAATAGTAGCGCATACATATATAAGCGATAGAAAAAAAAGTACTAGTCTAGTTGTTCATTTTCATAGTATTTCATTAAAAAAAGAAATCACATAAGAAATAAATATGCTGGAGTAAAGTTTTCTTTTCTTCTTAAAATAAAAAGCATATGATAACAATATTAGAATGAGAAAACAAAACAAAGAACCATAACATAAATAACTATCATATGTTGAATAAAGTTTTATATAAATAAAAGCAAAACAAAATAAAAATAAAAATTGAAGGTGGTTGAAATAACAAATTGATGACTTGAGAAAATCTTCGTCTTTATACAGTTTCTGAGAAACGTATTTGTCTTCCGCGAAGAACTAAATAACATATGTTAATGATAAAAATCTAGAAAGATTTCATTCAACTTACCTTTCGTTACATATAAATAAAAAAAATCACAATACAGAATTGTTTGAACAATTCCAGATCCAATTGAAATCCAATCAAGAAAGTTTTCCATATAATAACGATAAACCCAATTGAGAATATAGAGAAATCGATATATACCCAATGCAAATAAATAATGACTTGTTATTGTTTCAGCCGCACCTGTTTTAGTAACCATATATAATTGAGGAAGTATAGCAACAGATTCAAGATAAATTGAAAATGTCCAAAGAATCTATATAAAAATTTATTTCATTCATATATATTACGTTTTATTTTCATCAAAAAATCCTACTTCAAGTACGGAAAATTCATGATTCCAAACAAAAGCAAGTGCAGCTGAAGGTAATAATAATAATTCAATACGAAATGTATCATGATTACGGTCATATGTTGATTTAAATTTTATATAAATTAAATAAAGTGTAAAATATGTTGAAATAAGATAGATCACTTTCATTATCGTATTATATAAACTAACATAATGAACAAATAAATCAAGATAACGACAGGTAAATACAATTGCATAAAGTAAAACACTTTTACCGGATACACCTAGAGAATAATTTCAAAAATTATGTTTAAAATATTATAAATACAAAAAATATATATACCAGCACATGAACGTGTCTTCCAAATTTTAGCTAATAAAATAATAATAGCTGCTAAATGAGAGAAATCTCCTAAGAGTCGAAATATATTCATTTTATGAACACAATTGAAAATACTGGAGAGCTTATCTGAAAAAAATATACGGTTAGAAAAGAGAATAGATGAGAGGCATCAGGTGGTATAAATATAGACAATACAAATCAATCAAAACTATTGAGACTATTACGTGGCTTACATAATTATGCCTGGAAACCAATCAATGATAGTTTTTTACATTCTTTTTACTATTTCATATGAAAATTTTATATTTAATTATTCAATTTGCTTTAATATCAATCGATAGTTTTTAATAAATGTTCTAATTAGTTAAACTAGATGCCACTAGAAGTCGAATGATATTTGTCAAACTTGAACAATGATGGCAATCAAAAAACGTGTTAGTACCCGTTTCATAAGTATTTCAGATGTAAAAACTGATGTGATATAGTCAACTATTGAAGATTTTTCATGCACTGAATCATTGAAATAGAATGAAAAAGGAATTTATATGATTATTTAGATATAATTAATTTAGATATCAAAAACCATTCTTTCAATGGAATATTTTCATAACTTCAATTCATAGTTCAACATCTCATCACGTATAACATATGCCAGCATTCCAGTATTTATCTATAGATTGCACATATAATTCAGAATTTCATATGACTTATTTGAGCTAATATACCTTGACACATTTTTTTCTGTGTTCATATTTATGAATCCGTGTATGCTGATTTTAAAATAATTATTATTACTTTGTCAAAAAGAAGCATGCTATTCTTTACAAGGAAATATAATTATATATATAGCTCTTATAAGCCTTCAATTTTCTTTATATGTTTTGACAATTTTTATACTATTGGTTCACTATGACCTCCAATGATATCAAATTTATATCAACAAATAGAAATGCATGACAATTTCAGGTAAAAGTACGTACATTTATGTGAGAATAATAACGAATCATGAGTCCTTTTGTACGAAATAAGAAAGTGCAGGCGGAAATTATATATAATTATGGATTTATGCCTATTGTTTACGGACAAAAACATGCTTACAAGTCTGATTATATAAATGTATAGAATTCAATATGAGGTTTTATACATTTTATTTTTTTGGTAACAACATACTATGTCGGCAATTTTTGATGATTTATTATCAACTAAATCTTTACATTCAAAAGATCCTATTGATCAATATATTTTCAATCATTCACTTCGTTATACATCTGAACAACTTGAACTTTTAGAAGATATTAAAAATCTACCAGGTATGAAACATAATTTGATGTTAATTTAAGAAATTTTCAAATAATTTTCTCTTATATTGAAGAAAAAATTCAACCATGGTTAGGATCAACAGATGAAGCACAATTTTTTCAAATACTTATTCAACTTATGAATTGTAAACGAGCAAGTAAGATACATGAATTAAATCTTTTACTATATTTCAAAAAAAAGAAAGCATATATTACTATAGATTTTCATTTCTCAAGTATCCGACATCAAATGCTTTAATAGAATTCTATAATCAGTATTTATTCTCGTTTTATTATTAAACAATGAATAGAACACACATAGAGATGAAACATAAATGACTTGAATACATAAATAGGCAGTAATAAGATATCCGTTAAAAAAATATGCTCAGACTATTTATTAGTTGATCTTGAGAATTAATATAGACAGATACGTCTCGCCTTTAAATAGTTAGAAGATTATCTATTGAAAGAACATATGCTAAAAAGTATTTATTCTAGTTGAAATTGGAACATTTACCGGTTATACATCATTAACTATTGCTTTGGCACTTCCATCTGATGGTGAATTAATAACTTGTGATACAGATGATACATATGTTCGTCAAGATATTTGGGTTAAAGCTGGTGTTCGAAATAAAATAAATCTACAAATTCGACCAGCTCTTGAAGTATTAAATGATTTACTTGAAAAAAATGGTCCAAATTCATTTGATTTTATATTTATTGATGCTGATAAAGCAAATTATCCTCAATATTATGAATTATCATTACAATTAATACGTCCAAATGGTTTAATTGCAATTGATAATACTTTATGGAATGGACGTGTTTTAAATGAAAATGATACAACGATTGAAACTAAAGCTATACGTCAAACAAATGAACTTGTTAAAAATGATAAACGTGTTGATATTAGTTTTTTAAAATTAGGCGATGGAACAACATTTTGTAGAAAAAAATAAATTGACATATATATATATATATTTTTGTTTTTGCCTTTTTTTTTTCTTTATAGATTTTTATTTTTGTTTTGCGAAATAGACATCGATTATGTCATGTCGTTTCTTAATTTTTTTATTAATCATTATTTCGAAGAGTTTTTCATCAATACATTTACCACCTAATAAACATCAATTACAATATAGTTTTATAAATACAAATTCTAATCAGATAAATGAACGTGTTAAACGACGTACAACGTCAGATATATTTCAGATTCATATTCATTATGATATAAGTGTTAAAAAGTATATATATATTTGTTTTTTTCCTTTTAAAAATTTCATTTTATATTTGATATAGATTATTAAAAGAAGAACAAAGATTAGTTAAAGAAGCAGTCGAAACTGCGACTAATTACTGGAGTAAAGTGATTCGACCAAAATATAAATTAACTGATCGAATACGATTGACAAGGTATTCATAAAATGAATTAAAAGAAAGATATTTTTTGTCTTTCTTTCTTATTAGACAATGTCCATCACGAAAAATGTTTATTGTTGAAAATGATTTTTCCATACATTATTGCTCAGAAAAATGTTTAGATGAAACACAATGTGGTGATATTATTGTGCCTGATGAACATTTACAACAATGTCATGTTTGTAGTAAAGATAAAAAATGTGAACGAATCGGCTCAAAAGGCGTGGGTGTAAATGCTGAGTTTATTTTATATGTATCAGCACTTGAAACAAATCGATGTGAACCAATAGATACATTAGCTACAGCATCCTTTTGTCAATTGGAACCTAATCGAGACAGGTAAATTGAATATACGATAATATTGACGCTGAATTTTATTTTAGACCAATTGCTGGCAACATTAATATCTGTCCAAAACGTTTGCGAGGTGATCGTGATTCAATAGACTTCGATCGTCTTATTAGTACAGTAAAACATGAAATTCTTCATACATTGGTAATCAAAATTTTACATAGTACGAATTACTAATCAATAACAAATTATTTAAATTTTTCTAGGTATTTTCTACTGGTCTTTTTGCGTTCTTCCGAGATATTCATGGTGAGCCATTGACTGAACGTGATCCAGCAACACGATGGCCTAAAGTTTATGATGAAAAGTATGTACTGTACTCAACTTCTTCATTTTTATAAATATCTCCTATTGATAGATTACAAGTATACACACCTAGTGAACAAGTAGTTAAAAAAGTATTGAGAACAAATTGGAAAATTCGCGGTAGAACAATTGATAAGGAAGTCTCATTGTTGGTTACACCAAAAGTTCAAGTAAATTGAAGAACTGAATGAATGTATTTAACTTTCTCTTTTTATTTTAGGCTATTGTACGCGAACATTTTGCGTGTCGAACATTAGAAGGTGCTGAACTTGAAGATCAAGGAAGTGTAGGTACAGCATTAACTCATTGGGAAAAACGATTGTTTGAAGTAAATTTATTCAATGAAAAAAAAAGCTCTTATACTATTATATATATTATATTAGCATGAAATTATGACTGGTACTTATACTCAAGAATCAGTTATTTCGAATTTAACATTGGCTCTATTAGAAGATAGTGGGTAGGAGTTATTTGAATTCTAATCATATGAAAAATTGATTTTTTTAATTTAATTAAAAAAGATGGTATGATGTATCGTATGAATATGGCAAACCTCTTCTATGGGGACGTAATCTTGGTTGTGATTTTGTTAAAACAAGTTGTAAACAATGGATAGATTCAAAACTTGAACAGTAATATATATATAAGATTATATTTTATGAATTCTATTATAATTTTGTATTATTCTAGAAAAGAAAGCCCTTATCCATTTTGTATTTCATCACCAAGACCTAATCTGTTGAAACGTATCTGTGCATATACATATGATAAAATAGTAATGTGCAATCTTATCGAATATTCTACTGCTTTACCAAATGAATATCAGGTATAAATACTATTTATTTAGATAATAGTTCAAGTAGTTTATGATCTACAAACAGAATACTTTCTTTTATTGATCGATACAATACATTGTAAAAAATTTTAATACAAATATATTTGATGTTTATTATTAGATATTTGATTCTCTACCAAATATTACTGATGAAAATGAACTTGCACGTTTTGGTGGACATGTTATGTTAGCTGACTATTGCCCATATGATCAAGAATTAGCATATAAAAATTCCAATCGTGATTCACGATGTTATCGATCAGAAAATCAACCACCAAGTAATTTAAAGGAAAGAAATAACTATTCTTTATTATTAAATTTTTCGTATACAGATACAGAGAATTATGCACTAGAGAAATATTCTGTACAATCTAAATGTTTTGATCATGGTTCTGTATGGGAACAATATATCGATCAATGTCGAAAAAAACGTCGTATTGCTCCACAAGTAGCTGGATGCTATCAAGTATTTATTTTTATTTATTTATTCTACTGTATTATTTTTTATTCGTTAAGTTTGAATGTGTATCAAACGAAGGCATTTATGTACATATTGGAAAAGAAAAGTATCTTTGCGAATATCAAGGTCAAAATATAACTATTGTAGCTAGTCAATACAATTCAATATATAGTGGATCAATTGTTTGTCCTGATTGTCAGATTATATGTGGTTCTTTGGTTTGTTTTGATTTGTTATATAAATTAATTGTGGATAAATATTTATATTTAGAATAATTTTCAATGCCCTTTAATAAAAAATCTTCCTCATGGAAAAATGAAACAACAATCAGATACCCGTTTAACTATAGAAAATATCTGTGGAAGTTTAAAACAAAATGAACAATTACCAATGTCAGATACAAGCAATCAATTACATATACAACGACGATTAATTTGTTTTATCTTGCTTCTTTGTCTTCTTAATCTTCAAAACTTATTATAACAAAAAAATAAAGTTAATTTTCGTACACATCTATGTTTTTCTTTTATTATTAGATAAATCGATGAAAATATTAGATTTTGTCCTTTAAACTATTGATTTTCTCGGAAATTTAGCTAATTCCATAGCTAAACCACTTGATACTTGAGTGCAAAATAATTGCCAAGCTCTTTTTTCTTCAACAGTTAATCCATTTTTAAGTTCATAGCTAATAACATGAATAAGACTGTCACCATAATTCTAAAAAAAAGAAAAGAAAAGAAGTATATTTTTGTATTTTTCTTTTCAATTACTTTAACTTGAGTTGCACGTACACCCTGGTTATTAAGTTCAATGGCATGTTCTCGAAGTTTTTCTTCAAATTTTGTATCACTATTTTCAATTATATCTGAATACCATGCAATAAATCTTTCACCCGGTTCTTTCACTTCATCAGCATTAAGTAAATCAGCTTCAGTTTTATACGCTTCTGGTATATGATAGAAGGTTTTAAATTCAGGATATTTGTGTAATAAACTAATGAGAATAAAAGACATCTGTTCGTTATTTTTTATATTTCAAAATAACTTACTAGGCAAACGTCTTTGCTCCTAATTTATCAATATTTTTTATATCCGGCCACGTTTGTTTTACTTGACCGGCATAAACAGCAAACTCGGTAATGTTATTATTCGGTTCTGTTGTTGAAGTAGCATTTGAGCTTCCACAACCCATTGTTAGTTAGTAGAAATGACTTGTACTTTTTTTTCTTATTTTATTAGACAGCGAATAAATATAAGAGAGAAAAGAAGTATTTTACAATCTGTAATTGTATTTTAAGAGCCATCATATATTCTGTATAAGTAGAAAGTTGCTTCTTTTATAGGAAATATCATTATTAGATGATAAATGTAAATATTTAGAAGTGTAAAATCAGTTTATATTTGGAATTTTATGTTATTGAATTTTTTATTTTAAAAAATATTGTTTTTTTTGTGGACAGTTTAATTATAATATTGAATAATTGATTTTATGATCATACCTTGTAAAACAAAAAGAAAAATGTGTTGTAAAGAAAGATTACATATTTTAATGATTTATGACATGAAAGAATCTGGAGTTAAGTTTGTCAACAAACGAAAAATTAAATATTAGTCAAAATGACATTTCTTCAAAATATATTCTTTGCAATTAAAATAAAAATTTAAAAATAGATTTATCGATATTTTAGATGTCGACAAACGAAGTTTGCGTAGGTCTAACAGAAATTCATTCAAAGTCATTATTAAATAATAATGATACATTTTTATTCGATTGTGATGGTGTTCTTTGGAATTTTCCTGAAATCTTTCCAGGTGCTATTGAATTACTCAATTATTTAACTGAACAAGTATTCGAATAATGTTTTTTTTTGTCATTATCTGTAATCTCTAAGTGGTTTCTTTTTTTGTTCAAAAGGGTAAACAATTATTTTTCGTTACAAATAATTCAACTAAAACACAAGATGATTATGCGAAACGTTTTAATGATATTGGTTATAAAGCTAAACCTGTAAGATGAATTATACAAAACATAAGAAATATTTTATATATTTATTCTATTAGGAGCAAATCATTTGTACGGCATGGCTTACTGCTCAACATTTAAAATCAATTAATTTTAAAGGTCAATGTTATGTAATTGGTATGCAATCAATGGTACATGAATTAGAAAAAGAAGGTTTTCAGATTTGTGGTGGCATAGGTGTAAGTACAAAAAAAACTG